ATGTTATGTTATGTTATGTTATGTTATGTTATGTTATGTTATGTTATGTTATGTTATGTTATGTTATGTTATGTTATGTTATGTTATGTCATAAACATTACTTCAAGGCACTTGCTGTAATAACGGGCATATGCATGTAATTCCAGTTTTTACGGATTTATAAAAAAATCATGAAATTAGCGACAAAAATTGGTACCACTTTTTCAGACATCAATCACATGCGATAATATAAACGATCGTAATCCCTTGATTCCTTATTTAAAAGATTATATATATAATTTGTATTCTATTTGCATTAAATAATTCCATCAATGATTATACTGTATACGTGTATCACTACGAATCTGCAACACTTCACGATGGGAAAAAATATTCAAATATTTGATACAAATTCTCTAGATTAAAGTTACATTATGCAACACCTTATAGAAAACTGCTGACAGACTACACTACGTAACGAATAAGACTGCCGACAGGTAAGAGTAAATATTTTTATACCCTAATTTCATAATTTTTTCCTAAAGGGACAGTCCTGAACAGATTAAAAAATTATCGGAAGTTGTAAAATATCGTGCTTAGCAAAGATAAAAAAGATTCAGTTTCGCAATTTGAAATCTATATTTAGAGTGGTAAACACATGGCTTGTGTGCAAGAGGACACACAAAACCATGGTTGTTAGCAAAAACCATGGTTGAACTAATGAGCAATAAGTAGTATGCTAAATTTGAAGTGAGGAGGAAGAAATGCTTCGGATTAGAATCCTGAAAATTTCAGAACAAGCTGAGAAGTAAAATAGTGAGACAGCCAGTGCATGTGATGCACTAATTAGCTAGGCTGAGCTTAGACGCAAAACGTCACCAAGAAGCCTTATTGGAAGGACGCTCCACGCGTCATCGTCCTTCAAAGAAATATAATCATATGTGTAGCTCGTATTTGTAATGGTTCCTCTGCCGCTGCTTAAACCATTACAGTTGTATCGTAGATGTACATATAAACCATTACAGTTGTATCGTAGATGTACATATACCCACATAAACGCACATACTGACTGTTTTTAAAGCATGACTAATCCTGTGTGACTTGGACCACAACAACTGCCTACTTATATGCAAGAATTATTCGAAATTTTTACATTAATACTCGTAATTATGTAAATTGAACTAATTACACCTTAGTTTCCGAGCATGATTTTTGAATAGCGGTAGTCTTGTTTCATTGAGTGCAATTGAAGAAACGCACGCTGGGATCGGTATATATAAGAATATATTGAGAAATAGGTACAAGCTTCTAAGGAAAGCTTTATAACTAAAGAAATAGTATAAATAGATCTACTGCACCAAGTAGATAATTACTGAGTTAAAAAGCAATACATTTGTGGCATCTCGGTTATCAAAGCCCATATATTGATATATGATATTCGCAAACATGGAACAGAATGACTGTTGAATGTGCACGTTAATGTTTTAATAGATGTGGTTTGATGTTGCATGATTTGGAACAAATGAACATTTTAATTGAAAAAACTGTTCATGTGGTTCCTTTGTCAATAATACAACCAGCGTTACCAGGTTGTTATTGCTAATGTAGTAACTGCATGACATTTTAATGGAGATCGAAGTTATACAAGGCAACGCGAAAACCAATTAAAATTTGAAAATCATTCATAACTACCGAGCAAAAGTTGTAACTAACATTCATCTATTGGTAGATTAAGGGCACTTGATGTCATCAGAGCTAAAAAAAAACTCGAGAAGATATATGCAATCGGCAATCAAAACTGTTGCAGTATGCATCGTCGCGCTATCAAGAGAATGTGTTTCGTCTTCAACTTGCCAAAAATATTATTTGGTCTCCATGAATACATGAGATGAGAGGCTGTCTACTTACCTGCACTGAACGAAATGTGTATTAAATTCGATGTAATTGATTATATCTTTTGTGTAAGGCGGGTAATATATAAGAGGAGTTGTATATGTAAGAGGTGAAAGATCTACACACAACACACGGCTTGACGAGAATTGCTGTCAGTATAATTCTATTAAAACATAGGTTGGTAAAGTGGTGGATACCACATAAAATAAATAAAGAACCGCAATCAACTCCGCAACTTAATTTCGCTTTCAGCTTCAGGCCAAGCAAATTATCTGTAAAAATTTTATATAAGCTGCCGCCTAAGCAGCAGTAGTGAGCTGTCACACATTTCGCAGTGTAGCCATGATGGATAGATGTGAATGGTTGCGATTTTTTCCTGAACCCAAATGGAATCCTTGTTGGAAAAGATTTTTCTAATCAATTTGAACGCATAATAATTAGAATACGTAATTATAAGAAGAAGGCTAGTTTGATATATTCCTTATTTATTTTGCTACAAGGCGGACTTTAACGAAGTTAAATGAGTTACGGTGCAACTATTTAAGTGATATTCAATGGAAAATTGCATGTACTGCTTGTAGTATCTATAGATTAAATGCTATACTTAAATTGTTTCGAAGACACTTCCTTATTCCAAGTCTTACAAAATATAGACATGATAATCCGAAAGAACAGGTAATCCGGCCACACCTATTGAAACAAATATTCTGCCAGCAATAATGTAATATTTTAGTATACACACGGTGATTCATTTCCCTGGTGCTGTTGCTCCCCCCGCTGACCTTGCTTCGTAGCTGCAAGGGGGGACTGCAGCCCTACAAGTGCTTAACAAGATAAGCTGCATCAAAAAGACGCGTCGCTCTCACCTCTCCCTCACAGGTCTTATACTCCTCCAGTTCAGCGCATCCATACTCTGCTTGCAACGACCCTTAGTTGTAGTTGATGAAGTTGCTTTTACCATACGATTAGTTATTATTTGAATATATATTTAGTGCTAAATATTAGAGTGATTTTCTTTGTACTTCTTTCGAGTCGCCGGCCGCTTCCAAGATGGTGAACGCTGTTAAAGTTTTCAAGAAGACCGCTCCTAATGGTATGACTTGGACGTACATCATCGTATTCTAATAAGAGATTGAAAAAAATATGAAAACTGAATGATTTTGTTTTGATTTCATGGGTTTACTTAACATGCTAAGAATCCCATTTAAATTTATTAATGCAGGCCATAATTAATGCGTCAATATTAATTAATGATGACGAAATGGTGGAAATTATAAGAGTTACTTCACTGCAATTTTCACACGTTTATTTATCTGTACGTTCTACATTCCATAGGTACTACATTTTTTTAAGTGATGGGTTTACATTGAATCGCATTATTGACCGACCAAGATATTGCTAAGTACTTCTGAAAGTACAAGTTGTAAAACCGAACACTTAAATGAAAATTCCATGTACTCGAGAATGGTGGTAACAGACAGGTTCATTGCCTGCTCAGTGACTCTGAACGTAGTTTGAGTAAGATTTATATTCATTGGATGTACCTCGAAAGAACAAGGGGCCTTAATTACGGTTCGTTCACAGCGGTTTTTAGCCCGAGAAGGGATTGCGAATTTTTTTCAATGCCTTTCAAAAATATTATTGTCGTGTGTTAATGTATCCGTAAGCAAAGAGTTAACCATTTGTCCAAGGCCTTTAACTCAGGTTGTTCAGCCTTTTGATTGCTTAACTGTTTTCATATGTCATTCAATCTATAAGCAATGCAAGCAGTTCTTGAAAATTCATAATAAATAGCCCAAGCAGAGCACACTCGTAACGATATTACTTCGTTAATGTCTGTATCCTTGTAAACGAATTACATTGGCTGCGGTACTGTCACCGTAGACGAATTGCTAAAGGTTTTTTCGTTATGTCCGCGCAGGGAAGCTGACGGTGTACCTCGGACGCCGCGATTTCGTGGACAACACGGTGGTCACGGAGCCCGTGGATGGCGTCGTGCTGCTGGATAACGACTACCTCAAGGGCCGCAAGGTCTTCGCTACCGTGAGTGATTCCTCATAAATTAATAACTACAGAGAGCTTGTGTCAGGCGAACTGAAGAATCATGTAGCTTCTGTGACTAAAAAATATACCTACTCGTTTGCTGTGTATTGAGACCAGCGTATTCGGAATAATTTTCTTGTTAAACTACGCTCTAAATATATAATGAGAACTTGCAACAATTTAAAATATGAGACCTAATTTGTCATTTGCTAGTTAAGTTTCATGAAGATGTGAGAGATTAAATTTAGTTCTGAGAATCACGCATCAGCACCAACTATCATACACCGACGTATATTACCTTACACTATCTTAACTAGGATGGTCTAAGCCTCTAATGAGTCAATTTCGGGAGATATTACACTGGCTCTGTTAATAATGAATCCTATCATTCTTTCCATACGATAATTAAATTATTACATTTAGCGATAGCTGGCGAAATTCGCACTAAATCTTTTGAACACAACTACACGGAATTTTTCAGCACACAAAGATTGTTTGTGGTTGCCATGAGCCAAGGCTCTAACAATCTTATATTCTGGACGTGTACGTTAGGGGATTACTCCATAATGGAACAGATTGACATGAAAACAATTTTTTTTAATAATATCATGTATTGTTACAGGTCAGATAACACCAAGGTAGCTAAATTACATTTTTTGAATTTTCCTGAATAAATTAAATGCGATACATTAATATACCGTTGCTCTCGCAGGTCACGGTGACGTACCGCTTTGGTCGAGAGGAGGATGAGGTCATGGGCCTGAACTTCAGCAAAGAGCTTCAGCTAACTGCTCAGCAGGTGAACCATTACCATACAAAATGTTACCTCCTCTCCGAACTCATAACTTGACAGGGTTACAACCCGATACCCAGGCTATATTTACATTAATTTCCGTGGTGTGAAAGAATAATGCTGGTTATGTGTAGTTCATCGAACTCAAGTACGGCCTTAAGTAGAAGCTCATCGCAAAAATTCGTTCTTTTAAAATCATCCGACAGCGATTTGGGAATGAAATATCTATTTCTTAGGCTAGTCGGGTTATCTTCTATCTCTCATTATACGTACAACTTCCGACATCGTCACCTCATAATCCCGACGTTGTTTTCCTGCAGATCTTCCCAGCGTCCGGCAAGGATCCCGCCATCAACGAGGTGCAGGAGCGCCTGGTGCGCAAGCTGGGGCCCACCGCCCACCCTTTCGCTGTCAACCTCCCCTGCATCGCCCCCGCCTCTGTCATACTACAGAGTCATGAGACGGTGAGACTTCCTCGACACTTGAGAGGGAAGGCGGGACTTGCATGGTGAATAAGAGGATTGGCGGGACTTGCATGGTGAATAAGAGGGATGATGGGACTTGCTTGGCGCTTGTTTGAAATTGCGATAGTTGAATTACGATTGAGTTGGATTGTGAAACTTTCGTGGCGCTTGAGCTATCCGGTGAGACTTGCGTGGAGATTGCGTGGGTTGGTGAGACTTTATTGGCAGTTGATTGGGATGATGAGACTTGCTTGGTGCTTGAATGGGGAGAAGAACTGGTATGCTGCATCAGTTGGCGGGGATATCTGCGAGCAATTAGAATAGTAACGACAGTGATATTACGCTGAACACTCTTGAGACTAGAGTGCTGTAATCGTATTTAAATATTAGATTCTATTGTTTTAATATTGCTGTTAAATAATGAGATATATTATCTAACATATATTATTATGTATGCACTCAGGCCAAGCCCCTCGGCGTTATATACGAGCTGAAGGTGTTCGTCGCTGAGACCCCGGACGAGAAGCTGCATAAGCGCAACTCCGTCAGCCTCGCCGTCAGGAAGGTTAGTTTTTCCTGCAACTTTTATACAAGCGCTAATGATTATTATATTTTGCATAAGATCAACTGAGCGCCGGTTGTAAAGGTTATTAGGTATTAGCACGGTAAGCACCGTAATATGAGGTGTTATTCTGATTACATCTATCTGTATATGACGACACCGTAATCTGCGAAACTTTATGGCATTTACTATAGTTAAATATGTTTAAAAATTCGATACTACAACAATAGCAATTTTTTCACAACGCCCTGCCGTGTTATGAATTTTTTTTGTATGCCCCTGTGTGAATAAAGAATAAAGAATAAAGAAAGAATAAAGAATTGCCACACTGCCAAAATTCTCACAACATCCTTCTAACGATAGCCATAATGGCGATACATTCAAAGAATCCTATTAACCTTCCCAATACAGAATTTACTTTTCTGTTCCCTACGTCATACCAGCTATTGCAGTTATATCGATACTCTGATAATTTCATTATAACCATTAAGATAATGCAGATAATCTCTGGAAATTGTTAGGTACAAAGATATATACTATAAAATTTTTTTATTTTCTTTCCTGCTTTAGCAAGTAAATTTAGCTTTCGAATCACTATTCCCCAAATCACTAAAGCGAAAGACTTGTGTTTCTTCTCGTCAGTGGAATTGAGTAAGATCAGCATGCCTCTAATATGATTGAAACATGATTAAAAATAGAATAATATAATAATAGAAAGCTTGACAATGTGTTTTTATTCTATTCATTATATATTGGTAAGAGTTTTTGAAAATGTACAATTAATGATTGTAATGTTCTTTTTCACTTGAGGATATGCACGAAGCTTATGATACATATATAGAAGTTATCTCTTGCTGCATAGTCATGACTTTATTAAAAAAGGTGAGTTTTTCTAATTGGTCCGGTCTTGCCAATGAATAAACACGAATGACTCGCAGTTGATCACATGAGAGAGAGCTTATTGTATATAAAACAAGGATCATGAATGGACTAATGAGTCCGATGTAGCGATCGAATCCACTGAATACTGCATTTTTTATTGCGTCTTCCTAATCGTCGTCCTCCTCCTGTAGGTGCAATACGCGCCTCAGGAGCGATGCACCAGGCAGCCAAGCACCCTCGTGTCCAAGGGCTTCACCCTCAGCTCTGGTAAACTCAACCTCGAGGTCACTCTTGAGAAGGACATCTACTACCACGGCGAGCAGGTCAGCCTAGCCTTTTTGAATTTCATACGAATGACTTGGTAATTTTTTATTTCATCAAATATTAATGACAGAAAATTTCCCGAGGTGCTCGAAATTTCTGGGAAAAATAACGTCACCTCCCATGTTGAAATAATGCGGCAGTGGAAAATTTGTAATTTCATCAAACACCGATCGGAAATTTGTTTAGTTTTCAATATACTTCATAATTTGTTTAACACTAGCACATGGTGTAAGTTAAAAAATTATCTGAAATTAAAAGATCTTCCATAGCATCAGTTATAAATGATCCGTTGTACACTCTTTTATCAATTACATAGATTATCGCGAACTTGGGTATCAACAACTGCAGCCGCAAGACCGTGAAGAACATCAAGTGTTCTGTGGTGCAGCATGTGGAGGTCACTATGACCAATACTCACTTCACTCGCATCGTGAGTAACATGTTGATATGTTGATTGGTCAACGCGAAGTTCATATACAATAATTACATTCTTATTCCTCGAATGAAAATATAAAAATTAGCTTTAAAGAATGTTATAATATTACAAACAATGACCAATTGCAATAAAAATAATGCGGTTGAGTTAAATTTAAACACAACAGGTGGCGAGCCTTGAGTCGAAGGAAGGCTGCCCCATCACCCCAGGCAGCAACCTGCAGAAGGCCTTCCAGCTCCACCCCACCGCAACCACCAACAAAAACAAGGGCGGCGTGGCCCTTGATGGCAAACTCAAGGTTAGCGTTACGGGTTTGTATCGTCGTTATTGTTCAAGGCATAAATGGTGTTGCTAATACCTTTTGCGTCCAAATCTCTTGGCTCCTTTCATTTATTTATTTATTCATTGAATTCCTCAGTAACACTGACTGCACTGCAGCTTAAGGTGAACGAAAAAATATTTTTGAAAAAATATCAATTGTTTCTTCTTTCCGGTTTAAAAATATATTTATAAATAAACAGTACAGTTTCATTAAATTTAAACATGTTACTTCATAACTGATCGTTTGAAAAAACAGATCTAGGCGATTAATTTATTGTTTAAACATAGCTAAGGGCCCACTTAGTTAAAGCGTGGTACTTTGAAATGAATATTTCGGTTCAGTTAATTTAAGCTTGCCACTTATATCGCTGGATTTTTGACTACACTGAATCAACATCGTTTAATATGCTAACTGATTTTTAGGCTTGCTTGTTCGAACCGTTTTGCATTGAGAACTAATTAATAAAGTTGACTTGATATAAACGTGAGGCTCGTCTATAATCAAATGGTGTCCCTGATTACATTTCCACTCACAGGACAGTGACGCAAACCTTGCGTCATCGACGCTGGTGGCTGTTGGCCAGAACCCCAACGATGCGCTGGGTATCGTCATCTCATACAGCCTGAGGGTGGTCCTTAACTGCGGCGCCTTGGGCGGGGAGTTGGTCGCTGATCTCCCCTTCAAGCTGGTCCATCCTTCCCCAGGTGAACAAAGTATACAGCAGCAATCCTTCATGTACGCGGTGTGTGTTTTTTCAATACTGTTTCATTTTGGTTAAAATAACAAAAAGCTTTCAGCCACGTTAACGGTGAACGTAAGTCCCGTGATGATCATGTATGTTGACGTCAAGCTAGAGATTAGCTGTGCAAGTTTAAAGCCACGATCGAGAATATGCTACCTAATATACAATATCTTTCTTAGACAACTTGGATTAAATCGATTGATCCTTGAAAACAGAATTATTACTTTGATATCTATCGTATTAGTCGCTCGGATAGATAATCGATTATCTTTATCGCTTGAAGCGCTGAACATGGCGGTGAAGAAGGCGTTGCAGTCGACGCCAAGTCAGGACAGTGCGGACAACATCGTCTTCGAGGACTTCGCCAGGATCCGACGCGGCATGAGCGTCGACCAGCCTTAAGAGCTCAGCCACCGCATGCCATGGAAGAGGAAGAAAAGCTTGTTGAGGAGAATGAGAACTTATATCAAAAGAAGCGAATGGTCAAGGAAATAAGAACTGAAGAGAAAAGAAACCATATTTATGAGAAACGGAAGCGAATAGTCAAAGAAAAAAGAACTGAAGAGAGAAGCAACCATATCATAAGAAACGGAAGGAATATTTACTTGATGTGGTAATGAGTCCCAACGACCCTATAGAAGGTGGAAAATGAAGTGCACCTAGAGAAAACAACTGACTTAAATCGTGAAAAACGACCGCTGAAAGTGATTTGTCATCAATAGAGAGTGTATAAATAATTATTATCTGTAAATGAAAGAAATGTGGTTTAAAATTAAATGAAGTTTAGATAGTAAATTATTAAACTAATGAAATGAATGAACTAAGAGTCAAGATGATAGAGTTATGGCGTAGCTGAGGGAGGGTATTCCGATCGACGAACTCGAGGGATTGGCCTCGAAACTTGAACCTTTCCACTTGATTAGATCAAAATTTTGCTTGCCAGAATGATCGAAAACCATCACTCTTTGGTCCTTGAGTGAGAAATATAAAATTTCAGCAAATTCTATATTGTATGCTAAGTTAAAGACTACTCTATACTGTGATGACTCAACATTCTCCAACAAGAGTCATGACACGTTTAAATTATATTATAATATATCCAAAGAGCAGCCATATAAACTTGTTTGCTGTAATAAGCAAGATCTTCACTATTAAAAAAGACCTGAGCAACCCAATCCGTAGAAGCGATCATATCTGATTGATTCTTCTGTTTCTTACCTATATTCGAACGAAACCATTAATAATGCAATAAAGTAATTATCAATTCGTATAATTCTATTGTTATCCTCAACAACGTATCAAGATGAAGAGCATAAGCCGAACGTGCGAGCCATGGCTCGTGGGTTCGATCCAGGTTAAGGTTGAAGATTATTCCAGTGAAGAAATAAAGGTAAATGAATACATAGGTTCAATATTAGTATAGTATCAATATATCTAATGCAGCTACTCGTAGTATGATGCTCATATAATATGAAAATCCCGTCGATAATGAATGGATAATAAAATACGGTTAATTCAATTTTCAAAATCAACCTGTTTTCAAGGTGTTTTCATGGTCAAAATTTCAACATTGAAACAACATCGTGCTAGTAACATTATTTCAGCGTTGAAATGTAACGTCAACACGACGTTGCAGGACTGACGTTGATTCAGTTGTTTTCTGGAGTATTCAATCATGCTGAAATTTGGAATCATGTTGAATTTCTGGACTAGTATTCAACATGGTTTCAAAGTTGCGCATGGAAGTTGTTTCAACATTAGTCCAACCATGCGATGCCTGCGGCGATTTCCGAGAGTAATTACATTTTTAGATTGCAAGCTATACGACACCCGTATAAAGGCATTTAATTGCTTTTGGTAACCATACAGTAGGTTAAAATAACTCGTGTTATTCGGGCCAGTCTTACTTCATAGACGTTTCGGCAGCCATGATCGCAATCACTTATATGCCTACACGATTTCGAGACTGCTTTCAAAATATCTTGAACGAAAAATCAAAGTTAAAAAAAATTTAACATGTTCACAAAGAATTCTCACATCAGAGGTCTGACGTTTCCTTTAAGACTTAGCAAACAATAGATGGACACCACCCCTCTAATTTGTATAATTTTATTGTAAAGTAGAAATGTTCTTTGATTTGATGTTATTAATATCTACCTAAGGAAACAAATTGGGATCAAGTCCATGCAACATATACAACAAAAATAAGCTCGGTGAGAACATGGATGATTAAATAAATAATTGTACTTGTATAAATAATTGTAAAGATAAATAAATAATTGCACTTCTACTGAGCTGATATATACCAGAGTACCTCACCGATAAAAGGCAAAAAGTGAGTTTTAAACTAAAATACTCACCTGATACTTTCCAATATGAGAAAAAGGCAGTAATTGAGATCCATTACATTAAACAAAGCAGATATAATTGTGAAAAATGTAAAAATAAATAGTGTGAAATAAAAGTGTGAAAAATAAATACAAATTTCCAAAAAGTCGCGTGGCAAACCTTCTTCTATCTCAGGCAAGTCTGCCATGTTCTCCTGGAATCAATACCACGTGCATGGCCTCATGACGTCGTGGGAAAAACAAGAAAATTGGACCGAATGTTGCAGTCTCGCCGGAGCACTGCAGCAGGCTTTCGTGAGAGGCTAATGCGACCAATTGTCCTTGTCTGCGTGCGAATTTCTTGCATTTGGCGAATTTTTATTTTTAAGAAGTCTCGTCAATACAGGTACGAGAATGTGCCAATGCCGGAGAAATAAAACTAACTTACTTAATCTCTTGAAGGTCGGTCATTTCAATGAATTACCTGCATTATTTTAATCAAGCTTGCTAAGCAAGCCGAGCATTTGTTTGCCCAGGAGTTGATTTGTTTAGAGTCGAGGAATAAATTGAATCCATTATTCTAGTGTGATCAATTTTCAATTAAGTTTATCAAATGGCGATTTAGCTCATAAATTTTATCTCGCCGTGGCTGCAGATAGATAGCAAATTTTTAAATTCTGTATAGTAGCTGTAATTTTTTGTATTATTTCAAAAATCATCTTCTGTTGATTTTTTGGGTGAAGCGCATATTAACCCTAGATTTCAAGTATAATTGCAGACATCAAAAACTTGTCACACATCAAAACTCAAATTTAACTTTATAGTTGTAATGTATTAAAACTCGTTCCCTGTACAATGAAACTTTCACATGAATTGAAAATAACATTTTTCCGATGGCCAGCTTCACCATTTTACAGGCCGGACTGCATCGCTGCGATGCGCAAAATACTAAAAATAATTTAAATGTATTTTATGATTGAACCTTTCAATTTTTTCCGGACAGGGCAAATTATGCTCAGTTTATTATTACCAACTCTCCTATAACCAAGATATTCCTTTATCAGATAAATAAGCAAGTTAATGCGTAATCTCAGCGCTATATACATTACGCCTGAGTGTGCGTCAGGCTGACATAGACTGGATATTCCGCGTATTATAGGCTGTGATCTCTTTAAACGAGACCTTAATAAATACACCTTGATCCTGGCTAGACTATTGGTGCGGTGCATCCAATATTCCAGCCGTCACGCCCCAGCGAGTGTATGCCTCCGCTTGACACTGCATCTTATGAACTTTTCCTGATAACATCGATAACTGGCTGTTATAGGCCTGCATTGCATGGGCTATATATTTCCTGAAATTTTAGAGTCCCGCTATCAAGAACTCCGCCCATAGTAATTACGATAATGTGTGCTAATGAAGGGAAAAAATCGCTGAATCGCGCATTTTACATCGAACATAGAACTCTCATTCCGTGTAAAATGTGGGCTCTAAAGGTCTTTAATCATTCACATAAGCTTTATTACTATGAACTATTATTACTATGAATACTATGAACTTACTATAAGCTATTTAAGTTTCTTCCGTTTTTCATCGCACCAACGCGATTGACTTCTCACAAACGTCGAACATAAGTAGGTTTCCAAGGGCTCGTTGAAATGGGCAGAAAACATGTAATTCTGGTGGCTTCAAAACTTTACTTGACTTCAGATTCGATCTATGAGTAATAGACAGTAAAAACGAAGTTTTCATGAACCTTTGCTTGCTACTGCTCTCTCACATGTTAATAAGTGAGAGTACGTCTCTTAATATTGTACAAAACTATCAATGATGTTTGATATTACGACGTGCATCACGACATGCATTCATATTATCACGTGCATGATTATAATACGAAATGAGTCTTCAATATTTGCCACATAAAGTATTTTTATTACAACGCTTCAATTTAACTTCACTTCTTCTTGTTTGTCTGTCTGTCTGTCTGTCTGTCTGCTACAAATCTTATAGTCGAAATTTAACACACTTCTACTTATCCTATCGATCTAAAATTTTGCACACTTGCGTAAAGTTGGAGACAATGCATGAATCAAATGACAAAATAAATGATTTTGAAATAAAAATTTTTTTTCAATGTTAAAAAATTGGAAAAAATAATTTGTCAGCAACAAATCTTATAACTGATATTTGACACACTTTTACCTGTCCAATTGATCTGAAATTTTTCACACTTGTGTGAAGTCGGAGGCAATGCATGAATCAATTGACAGAATAAATAATTTAAAAAAAATTTATATACTTTTAAAATTTAATTTTGAAAAATTAATTTTTTCAATATTCGAAAATAAAATGAGAAATTCATTGTACATCTATAACATTGCAGACACTCAATACTTTAGAAGTGTTGTCTTTAAAAAATAATTTTTGAACGTATATTATTTCTAATAATCTCAGTATAATACCTTGGTCAAAATCCTTTCAAAGGCAAAAAATTTTATACTCAATGTTTATTTTACTACATAAACAGTGACAAAAATTATTATTTGTTACCATTCATATCGCCATGCATGTCTACAGTAGTAGGATGTAGGCGTCCTACAAACTGGATTTTGTTCGCTGAAAGTCTACGGACAATACTTTCAGCATTTAATTTACTTATGATACTGACATAAAAAAGTATAAAAATGTAGTTCATACTCAAAAACGGATATGAGCTGGCATTACAAATTTAAGCTTGGAGATTTAAAATTCGCCGAAAAATAATAACTATTACTAGTAGCATGGTCCTTGCCATATACGAATATTTCATGTGCTTATAAATGTTATGTTATGTTGTTTCATGTTATTATGTAATTTCATGTTTTATTTCATGTTATTTCATGTTATGTTATTTCATGTTATGTTATTTCATGTGCTTGTTATGTAATTATTAATGTATGCATCTAATTCCCTATAATGCGACAATAACCCTTCATTTATACGAATAGTGCATTAATTATAACAGTGAAATGAAAGTATAATCACAGCAACATGAATTAAAATTCTTGAGATTCTTTCACTAACCTCCGCACCTTGCGGCGAATCCTGATTGCAGACGCCATGGTTGAATTATTTTTTTTTATTAATTCAACCATGGCTGACGCCATGTGTAGCAGGACTTGCTGTACAATGCGAGCGCGACGTACAATGCGGGTACATTGCAAATCCGTGTAGCTTAAGGCGTAAAAATGCTTTTTTTGCAGAACTTTACAGTGTTGTGAATACAACAATTTATATATGTAAGTACTGTATTTAATAAATGTTCATAAATAATAACCACACATTGAGGCTTGAGCACAAAGTAATGGGCTATGACTAGTAATTGGGCTAATTTTGACAAACTCTTGTTCGTACGTTATTGAACGCAAAATTTTAACATTATTTTTGGTAAATTTATGCGGACAACTTTAAGCGTTGAATGGAGTTAGTTGAAAATTTACGGATCAGACTTATTTGTTTCTCCCATATAATATTCACAAATTCCTACATCATTATTGAAATTTAATTGCATAAACTTTCGCAAATAAGGTCATCACCAGGTGCTTAAATCTTATAATCAAAGTTTAGGTAAAACCATTGAGAATTTCAAATGAGAAACTCCCATAGAAGAAGTGTAACTGACATTGAACTTCACTCGATGAAGTGATGCGTCTCGTGCAAGGCACACTAACCTAATTTCATCACTTTACCTCAGGGTTTCCATCGATATATCTCAATAAAAATATTCCCTTGACACCGCGACGACAATGGTCACGCAGGCACTCCCTATATAAAGGAAGTTTGTCGTCATCTCTGCCCATTCGGTCACTGTTCGCAGGACGCAACACATCTCAGGACATTTGGTCCTCTGCTCTAGCCACACCAACGCGGACTGTCATAGGCAGGATTAACTCGAGCAGGGCTCAAAGCTTGAACACATGCAGCACGTAAGTGGAACTCCTTATATTTGTGCTCGTCAGTTAAATGAAATAAGAAGTTAATTACAAACTATAGATGAATTAAAATAATATTAGTGTAGATGCTTCTATTGTGCACTTTAATAAATCAGTAAGAAACTTAATTATGAACTAACTATGGATAAAAATAATATGGGTGGAAATCCTTCCATCGTACACCTTGATCAATTAAAATCAGAATCGTACAATGATTGAATTGAAATAACATGAATAGAAATTCTTCCATTATATACGGCGGTGTTATTATTCCATTATATATTCCATTACATCTGTCCATTATGTACATCTGTGCTATTCTTAAAAAAAATAACAAATAAGCTATGTAGGAATCATATATATATGAGTGGAAACCATTCCATTGTACGCATTAGTTATTCAAAACAAGAATTGAATAATGAGCGCTACATTAATTTAATAATATCATCTAATCTTTTATTGATGGCTCCTTCAAATTATTCCGACTAGGGTTAAAGAAATTCAATGTTCCAATGTGTTTACTGTACTGGGAATGCCGATGGTGTACATGTCTAAAATGATACAAATGTTTGTCAGCATATAGCGTTACATTGTTTTCCTTTGTGTTGCTAAGACAAGCAGAAACTCAACGCTCATTCAAGGCATAAAATATTGTTTATTTATTTTAATTGTAACCAAATAGTGAGTATTATTAATTTCATGGTATTAGGAAGAATTTTAATTAAGAAAGTTGTTTAGTTTATTCGTATGAAGCTTTTTAAAACTGTTGAAGGTTGTTCAAGGCAATGGAGAAAATGAAATTCTTCTTAATTAATTCTCACCATTTCTAGATTAAAGTTTCTTTTCAATGTATTAATTTATTCAATGTGTTATAGGTGTCCACACTAACATTTGTTTACTGACCTCCTCTACATATGTTTCGAACATATCATTCGAACATATCATTCAAACATATCATTCGAACATATCATTCGAGCATATCATTCAACTTCAGGCTATGAAGTCAATTGTTCAAAAAAATTGATCATATTCGATCTGTAAAACCCACTGTATTTCAAAACACAGTTTAGTGCCTACAACCGTTTCACATCTATGCTACCCGACCTCTGTTACAGGAAAGCTTTATCTATATTCCATTTAATTTCATTTCAATGTAAAGGAAATCCGACGAGCGGGCCGTTTAAACGTCGTTCCGGTATTATAAAACATTCATTTTACATAATTTCTTAGTTTTTCTCAATTTTTCATGTGTTATTCCACAAAGTTTTGTTTCCACTGACTCGTGAATAAATGAAGCAAGAGTTCAACTTAAGTGATGATGATGTAGGGAGTATGTCTTGATGCAGTTTCAAAACTCGCGAGGCTTGCATTAGAGTATAAAACTTATCATACTGGGTTATTAAACTTTTTACCAGGCATAGAAAGTCATGTGTCTTGTATGAAAAACGTGAGCCTAACAGCAAAAACGTAAACAAAAGCTTTTACTACAACCAAGCTTGATATGAATGTTTATCTGCTGAATAATACATTCGCTGGACTTGATAGTCAATTGCTATGCAGGATAAGTATAAAAAATATAACTCAGTACTCACTGCAGTGAGTGACAGAGAGCGCATTTTCTCGTCGACGAAAACTTGAGGTCACGGACAGACGGACGGGCAGACAGACAGACGGACATGGCGAGCACAATAGTGCATTTTTTTCATTAATGAGAAAATGCGCTAAAAAGGTTTTTGCTGTGCATGGAAAATATCATAAAGTTTTATAGTCATGCATGAAAATTCGACTCGAAAAAGTTTGATTATTCCTTCTTATTTCTAACCTCAACTGATAACATTGCTGCTGGTGTAAGAATTAGTTCCTGATAGGCTGACCCCTCGATTTATGAACTGTCATGTGGTTACTTGGATTTACATGAATGAGTTCCGTGCATGAAGTTCTTTTAACAATATCATAATTAATGTAAAAAGAAGTAAATAATTAGCTATAAATTAGTTTTAATTGTAACAAAGACGGAAATAAGGAGACTACAAGTTCTCTATCAGAAATTCCTGAGGTAAAAGATTGCGCTGATTTGAGGAATTACTTGCAGGGTTAATAAATCTGCAGCAGGTTAGTAGGGATTAAGTTTTTTAGTCTTCAGCAGGTTATCATATACTAAGTTTCATAATTTTTTAGCATGTCAATGCCGATAAAAAATTATGTAATCTTTGGAGAAATCTGCATGAAAGTAGCAGCGAATTCTCATAAAGTTGAATATTTTATCTAGAAATAGATTCTCCGATAAAAATAAAGCTTTCAAACTTTCTTTTGAGTTTACTTTTTGACTCGGGCCGAAGAAGAATCCCGTATTCTTCCAATCGTTCACTAAATTGTTTGATTGCTATTTACTGATGCATATGTAAACTATCCTGTGCACACGAGTGCTTTCGTCGAGTCTGCCTCCACTATAGCCTCACTGTCTAAATAAAACAACCTCAGCAAACATCCAAGCCTACATGGGTTTATTTACCTTAATTGGGTTTCCTGAATTTTTGGCTCAAAAAAATACTGCATCTGACCTTCAAAAATTCTCATGTCCACTACAATTTTCGATCGCTGCATGAGCAGGTTTTGTGAGAATTTTTTAGGGGAGCTTTCCCCACAGGACTCTTTTTGTTTACAACAAGCTGTGCAAAGTCGGGGCCGAGTCCTTGGGTAGATGGAATTATCGTAGAAATTCAATTTTCTTCTGTGCAAGAGCCTGCTTTGGCGCAGAACCGCCATCTGAAGTGACGTGCGTGCGACCAATTGCTGACGTTCTAAGGATTTAATTCAAGAAGGACAACAACAAAAATCTTTGAGAAGGACAACAAATCTTAATTCGAGAAGGACAAAAAAATTTGTTCCATAATTCCATAAAAATTGAGTTATATATAACACAACAACAAAACATAGTGATGTCAGCGCTGAAGAGTAGGCCTGATATGTGGCCTGTCCATAAAGTTTATGAAAGATAAATATTCACAATAGTATTACTTAACGTCGAATTGAATTTGATAAAAATGTTTATTCACAGAATATATTACGTGGATCAAGGAATGAGTCACAACTGGGACAAAATATATAGAATATAAATTAACGATTTTTATATCCTACTAGCTGGTTAAATCGGCATAGCCTGTAAATCCCTGTAATTTTTTAATCCTATTAACACGTATCCAGTAATTTATAATAAGGCTAATTTGTGATAGTTGAAAATAAAAGTATTAAACCCATATTTTCGCTGGATTATAACATAGAAACCTCATTCAACTCTCGTTTAAAAATAGTAAAAATAAATAATTTTCCTCTATTTAAAATTGAACTCAGATGAATTACGAAGTTTAGAGTAGTAGTTAAATTTAGATATAGCTATTTAAAAATTTAATTTTATTTTTTATCCAATCTTTTCCTCTTTTTCTTTCCTTCATTTTCTATTCTCCCAAGAAGAATAAAATTTCAGGTTCTAGTAATGTTCCGACAATATAAGAATCGTATATATCCTCCTTAACAGTTCCTATATATTGGGGTGCCAGGCTTCAAACACTCATTAACGCACACAAAAAAGTTTTAACAAAAATATTTATATATGTGAGATTGACTTTAATGAGACAGTCAGCCTATTAATCCTAATTAAGGTATCGGTATTTTTTGTCCAAAACCCACAAAGAAATTCATCCTTTCCTCACCTCGCCAAAAGTTTTCGTGGTGATGATGGCTTTAGTGGTGACCTATTAGTAAGAATGCCGAGATTATGGTGAATCATAGTGATGCATATTTTGCTCTGCAGACCATCTTTGTTACGACGGCAGCCGCGCTGCTGGTGATGATGGCTCTGGGTGATGCAACGGGCGGCGCCCGCTACAACGATTGCTCCAGCATCTGCCACCGCACGGGCATCATTGGGCGCTTCGCTGGGTGCCGCTGCTCCCTCACGCTCTTCACCAAGCGGGCCATGGGGTGAGTGGACACCCGCTTCCCTTTAAAGAGACGTCATTAACGTAAATATTGACGTACAGCGATGGCAGTGGTGCCATTGGAAAGAGCAGAATTCCAGCTTTCAGATGAGCACGAAAACACAAAAACGCCAAAATTCAAGATTTTGGGTAGCAGGTCCCCTTAACTTCACTTCTTGTTGTTTGTTTGTCTGTCTTCTACAAATCTTATAATCGATATTCTACATACTTCTACCTGTAAAATCGATCTGAAATTTTGCGCAATTGCGTTAAGTAGGATACAATACATGAATCAATTGACAAAATAAATAATTTGAAAATCACAAAAATTTATAGGCCTATCTTGAAAATTAAAAAAAATTATATTTATAAATAAAAAATAGGAAATTCAAAGAAATTCATTGTACATAGTAACATCGCAGGCCCTGGTCTCTTTAGAAGTGTTGTCTACAAAAAGTAATTTTTAACGCATATTATTTAGACTCGAGACGCAACAACCATCGAAAATATGGTTGTTAATTTATTAAAAGAATTCCGATGCAGCAAAATTGCAACGTCACAATGCATCGGAACAATTTGCATCAGAACAACAAGTCACTTAAAAAATTACACTGAATGAATATTTTTGTATTTTCCAGTGAAGTAGCAGCAGCTTCAGGCAATGCAACTCCAGACGGTGAGAATGACCCGGCTGGATTTGTCGAGCTTGACTTGGACCTTGAGCGTGACCACCACCCCACTCCTGACGAACCCCTGCAGGGTCCTCGCTCCTCCGGGCCTTGGTTGTCCCCCGAAGCGGACAACACGCCTCTTATCCTGCCGTACCCCGACTACGACATTGCACCGGCTGAGAATGAGTTCTTTGGTAGCAGGTTTTTGAAGGAAAACAAAGACGCGGTTGGTCGGTTCGTGAGAGATCGAGGAAACTTCCAGCTTAAGAAACGATTTGCTGCACGGCTATCGAAACGCAGTGATCCCTCGGTGAATCGAAACTTTGGGATCAGTAGACATTAACTCTTGTCAAGTTTCGTGATGCGCTGTGCCACAGTTATTCCTATATTGTGTAGCGAAGATGTGATAATTTTGGGAATTCTTTTATACAGGAGCGGTACCGTCATTATTGAAAATTATTGATTTTCTTGTAGACAAAAAGACTAAAATTTCAACTAGTACAACGAGAGAAATTGTATGGATATAATGACGGCTTGATTTGCCATTGTATGCCGAAACTGGAGGCAAGTATTGGATTGCTAAATTTACATTCTAACACGTATGAATGGGTAAATTGGGTTAACATATCATTTAAATTTGAAGCAAACCCACTACACGCTCTTTGCAATTTTGTGTCGATAATTCTTGAGGATTATGTTAATTAACCCATTAATGCCGAGACATTGTGAAATTTGATAATTACAATCGACTAAAATTTGTTCCTGGCCTTTCCATTTAACATGAACGGCGTATTGCAGAGCTGTATAAAAATTTTGTGTCAGTATTTATTTTACAGAGCGACCCATGCAAGGTGTGAAACAATAAAAATATGCTAGAGATGTTCGTTTTTTAATTTGTGTGCTACCATTTAATCCGTTTACCTAAAAGACGTACATTCGGAAGAATAAAATTGGAAACTGGGGTGAGTGGAGGATGAATTTCCTCTCTTGAGAATAAACTGGAAGAATAGAATCAGAATGCCAAGATACCGAGGCACGCTCATTAGTTTTAAAATATATGAATAATTGTTTGGATTGCCGCTACTTCATGGATTAAAGTATAAATTTCACCTATTGACAAGAGTAGAATTTTAAATTTGGAAGAAAATTATTTGTCGATCTTTACCACATGAAAGTTATGGATGCATGTAGTCGGATTAGTCAATTTAGATTTTTCCTAAGGACTGTCTCTATGTCTCTAAAAAAGTTTCAAATTTGCACTAAAAAATCACGCTTCAAATTTTTTTCGATAATTTATCTCACCAGCGCAAAGACTTGTAAATAGTTTTGAACTTAATCGTCAACTATATTGAGTCGTATTCTATTCCATCACTAATGTTGGTGATATAAAAAGCGTAGGGTAACATGGGGCAGCGAGCCCACTGCGGGTCACGGGCCCATAGCGGGTTTCTCGCTAAGTATGGCAGATATTGATCCGTGTTCTCTACCGCCGGTCGACAGTTTCACTGGGATGAAGTGTACGGATTTACGTTTTGCTAAGTGTTTGCGTTATTAAGTTCTTTGACCAAGCCCATGGGCCCATTGCCCCAGGGGTGGGGCAATGGGCCCATTTTGACACTTTTTACAAAATAATGTTTCATTAAAAATTGAATAACTCTATAGGCGCCTAATTCACATCATACATTCCTCATTAGTTGCACCTTTAAACAAAACAAAGAACCACCTCGTATCAATTAAAACTTAGTCAAAATTTTAGTTTAAAAAAAGTGGGGGGCGCGCTGCCCCACGTTGCCCTATGTAGTTACTTCATCTTTTCCGTTCACGTTTAACACTGGCATATATCCTATTCACTTAATGATTTAAATTGCTTGAATTATGAAACTTATTTAGTTATTATGTGCATGTCTGAGCTTTAAATAAATGGCCCAGATATATTCAGTGGAATAGGATTTAAAAGGAAATTACCATATATGACACTGACTCCTGATGTTCCAAGATGATTGATGTTTCATCATTTTATCTGAATTTATTAACCGACAAAGAAAGTTTTAAATTAATCAATATTTATATCTATAATTTCAGCTTATGGTATGTGTGAGGTGTCATTTTTGGCGATTTGTTGATCTCGTGCTTTTTTTACATGGTCCAGCGGCCTATTGTGATGTCTTCTCGCTTCCAAAAAATTAAAGACTCACATTTGATGGCGATTGTTGCTGATAACGCGGCGAGATCAATGGAGTTTTACTCACTAAATATTACTGAGAGCAAGGTAGGATGCTGATGGCGTCTTATATTGTAGCGCTGAGGGAAGGCAGTGCGAGAGACAAATTTATTTGCAAGAAACACTCACTTAAACAAACACTTCGCAATCTGGCACTCCTAATTTTTATTATCTCGTGTCTGCAGGAAACAGACTTGTTATGGGCACGGAATATATTGCCGATATGCGAGTGGTTCATTAATGGTAGAATCAGAGAAACATTTTTATTATTTTATTTACTTTTGTTTTTATCTTTTTCTTTTATTTAAATGCTAGAACCAAATCAAAGAGTATTCTTAGGTGCACACGTGAAGTCACTCCATGAAAATGCTTTATTCATGATAATAATGATTATTTCCGTGTAAGAGATTAACTAATGAACTATATGCTGTGGAACGCTTGTACATATCTATATAATCTTATATTTTACAACTTATTCTAATAATTAAATGCAATGCATTATGAAGAATATCTGATTGTTTCAAGTCGTATGCCTATGAATGAAACGAGTAACAATTAATTCGAAATGCAACAGTCAAAATACGAACACATTTATTAACAACCAAAGTCAAGTTTATTTAATCTGATGCAAATTTTGGTATTGGGTTCTGAATTTTAAAGTCCCTGGATTAAAGTTTTGAAAAAATCAGCACCGATTATCGTGAAACTCTACGACATTTAGACAACGGGAAATTATTTTTGAAAAATTTTCCGCGAATATTCATTAATTTAACTTTCAGATAAATGAATGTTGTGAAAAAAGTGTTGACCATTTTCACCACGCATCACGAGCATAAAACGAACGTCGCACTGATACTTTATTTTGCAAGGGTCAAAGTGGACCAAGACAACCCACACATAGGCAGAAAGTGCTTTACTTTTTGGACAAACTTTCACTCATTTTCTGAGTGACAGGTCGCGTTCTGATGACATGGAAACGCGTTTTTAGATCTGCATTACACGCAACTTGAATCCTGTTTAGTCGACAATATGTTAGTGGAAATCCAAGAATTCACATCAAAATGAATAGTTATTTTAAATAATATATATCATATAATGTAATATAAAATAATATAGTATAATACAGGGTGAACCAGAATTAAGTAACCCTTTTAATTTGTTAATAAATAAAAAACTAAGAACGTTATGAATATAATATAATATAATATAATATAATATATTTTTATTATCAATCTTCAATGTTGGGCCAGTCTTCTCTATGATCCAATAGAGGATGTTGAGGTCTCAGTCGTCGTAGAGCTGTGACCCCTGCAGCAAGGCGCCTTCAACTTCCCGGTGCAGTTCAATAATCGGCCTGCAAATAATGCTTTTCATAATATGAAAGATATATTTTAATAATTATTGGAGGTTTCTAAATGCTACCTCAGTTGTGAAATAAATATTTGCCAGCGCTAAAAAATATATTGCTTAAAAATATGTTTTTTTTTGCGATAGATTTTTAAGTATTAATGGTCAAAATGTTACGAAAACTTCTTGCTTCAATGATGCATTACTGTAGAGACGGACTCGAAACAAATTGATCTAGATTAACCTTTTTGATTTTAGAACCTTAAATAATATCTCAGAAGATAATGCTCAGTATTAAATATGGAATAAGTGAATGAATATACCCATCCAATTTCGATGAATTTAAACAATCTATATGGTAGATTTTTAATATAAAATTTTTGGCTAACTTCCTTTCGAATTTTAATGAACAGCTAGAAAATACCTTTGTCATCCGAAATCTTCATTATTGAAAATTATTTTCATAATTTGAAAATGAATCATATTACAAGATTCATAAAGCAAAGTTTTTGTGCCATCCTTACAGTGTTGCTCACCCATCCTCTTTACCCTCCCGCTCGAGCAGCGATGCGCCGGCGGCTTTAGTGATTTTCTTGCCGAACTGATTAGTGGACAGCAGCTGCAGCAGCGGCCCCACTGCCAGCGCTGCGACCAGCAACAGGAGGAGTACCAGGGCTGTCCGGTCGAAGGCGGGGAATTTGATGACACGATAATTATAGTTGAAAATTCCCCTGCTTGGCCTGAAGTAAGGTCTTCTTATAATCCCCGGGCTACCGCCAGGAGGGAGAGCGAGTTTGGTTGATAATACTACGGGGGGTTGAGAGGGACCAAGCATCTTATGACCACGAATCTTGACCTTTGAGGCACTTGGACGCAGAAAACGATTTAAATTTACTCGACCGCGTGTGGACAGAGCGCTTGGTAACATGTATCTTTCTGTTTGGCGTTCAGCAGATCCGCGTGTCAGTTTGTTGGTTTGTGGAAATATTGTGCGGATCTTCGCACTACGATGGATCAGCTTGATAGGAGTGGGACCCTCCGAGTTGTCTGCAGAGCTACGGTCCATCCTTTCTATGTCTCCAGTCTGCTGGAGGAAGGGTTTCTGATTTTCCTGAGACTTCTTGCGAACAACAAAGTTCTTTTCATAATCTGACTTAAGTGGTTGCGGAATTTCCCTGTCAATAAAATTTTTTCTAGCGACTTCTGCTGTAACGGCGACTCGAGCATTGGGCTTTGTTTGGTTAAATCGTTTACTTTGTTTGATGTTGTTGACCTCATTGTCTGTGTGCTGTACTAGGGCGCCGTTCATATCACTAACACCTTCATGCCGAGAATATTCCGTAAATTGACCAGTGTTTATTTCTTCATTCCCTTCAATTGGTGTAATGTCGTCGCTAACAATTTCTGTTTCCTTAAATTGAACTTCGTTAGCCTGTAGCGAAAGCTGTTCTTCATGCTTCATTTCATCGTCACTTAAGTCAAAGGCTGCAATGCCCTGGGCTTCCCCGAAACTGAAGCCCACGTAACTCGGCCCATGTATTGTGTCATCTTCAAATTTGTTATCGGCTGCAAGATTTTCATCCGCTTCCAGAGCTAAATTGTTTGGGTCGCCTTCTTCACTGATCGAATAATCGATTTCTTTCAGGAAATGATATTCGCCGTTACTACCGGCGGACCAATAATCTTGTAGTATCTCAGACGAGGCTGTATGAGGCTCGATTTCGTCATCAACGATGAGAGTCTTCCGATAAAATTGCTCAGGTTGAATTTCCAAATCTGAATTAGCATACATTGCTCAAGTATGCCTTTGCGATTCCTCGCGACTAGCATGTAGTTCAACTTTGTTCGAGTCTAAGGTATTCTATCAAGCCTTTGTTTGCAAAAGCCGCTTGTTGATTGTGTGAGTGTCATAAATTGGAAACGTCCTGCAATGTTTAAAAATGAAACTGATTCCACGTGCACATAAATAAAAGAGGATCAAGCCCTGAATATCAGATTGTTCTAAACCTTTGATTGGACAATGCAATATCAAAGTATATTAAAATGTACTGGACTGTCACAGAAATACGTATCATGAAGACGACACTAACATTTATTTACAACAAAAATTCCATGCTGCCTACATTATATGTAAATTCAAGAAAAAAAACTTTGACGCCCTTTGGAGTGTAATTTTGAGGGAGAGCTGCCGTCTGTGCAGAGAACCTATGAAAAACCATTCTTTGTGGCAAAAAAAAACATATTCGAGCGAAAATGAATGAAAAGGTGTGCAAAGTTATTTGGAAGTTACTGCATCATTCCTTAATAAATATTAACATATTTATGAGCTAGTGGGTGCGTAATGCGGATGAAAGAAAAAGTATGACGAAGCTCAGAGTGTTTCCTGATTAAATTTTGACATCATTTCATCCAAAGCGACGTGGACCTTTTCCATGAGCTCGTCATGTGAACTGTACAGGGTTAAAAGAAAGAAAAATATATTAGTATATTATAAACTGGATCCTAGAGCGAGGTTAGTAGAAAACAATAATAATAACATTTGGTGCAAAAAAACTTTTCATGAAGGAATGCAAAAATAAGTGATAAATACATTTCTAACACTCAAAAACTTAATCTTTACCATCACCTTATGTTGTCAGTATCTCACTAAAATGGGTTTAATTAAGAAATGTCTTACTCTTCATTCCACCTGGAGAAACTTCTCTTTTTTCTTCCCAAATTGATGGTGGATCCAACAGTGAATAATTTGAAGATGGAGATGAGGAGCAGCAGCAATAGGATCGGTGGGATAGGATCTCCTGGAATGTTCTTGCGATTGCGCATCCTTGAGCTAATCTTGCGCAGCGCTTGCTTGAAATAAGAATAGAGGAGCGTCATTTTCGCCACTGCTTCCGGTTTGTCACGTTCCTGAATTTTTTCTATTGATGATTTGTAGATGTTATATGTTCCCAGGATCCAGGGGAGTGTCAGTGAGTGCTTCCTTTTTACAATTCTTGTGACGATCGTGATCTGTGAAACTCTCTAGCCTTGGCCGAAACTGATAGATTAAAATATCTCTGATTTGAATCGGTGATAAGTAGTTATTTTTACGTGTGGGTGATTTAAAAAGATTACACCGACAATTCGTCTGAAACATGAAAAATTTTAGTGCAGTTCAATCGTTTACCAATATTTTTGGAAATGTTGAGAAATAATTTTGTAAGTAGTGCATGCTGGATGAACAATGTTGAATTCTTATAATATTCCTGTTAGTGTGCAGTGAGTGTTTTTGACAGTGTTTTTCGAGGAATATCGGCTGATCCGCAATCAATTTCCGCATTGCATTGGAAGCAAAATGCAGGAGTATACATTAATTAGGCTAGAACAGTATGAAGTACAGGTAGATATTACGCGTCTTGGATTACAAACCACCTTGATTTTTTTACACAGGAATGCAAAATTGTCCTAATATCTACTTGTTCATCGATCTTTAAATTATATTCGACAACTTATTTAATTCTGCTAACTAATGTCATAAACTCATTCGTTTCTTAACTGAATGATTACTTGTTTTCTTATGAAAGGGTTATAATCTTAACGGGAAGATATGAAATACAGACTTTTAATTGTTTCTTTGCAGATAGCGTTTTTAGAGGGTTTAAAGTAAAGGGATCAAGTAACAGATCAATTTACGTTGCTTGACTAGCCTGGTTCGTTCAATAGTTCGAGGCTAAAACGAGAGTTACCAGAATTAACTGATGACTTGAAGTATACATTAATGCTGGTGAAATAACGTCAACATACTTAACGACAAAAGAACACCTAATTGGTAAAATTCGATCGAAATTTGACCTTTCATTCATTAACTTGTAATATTCTCTAGACAATGACTTCACTAATAAATATTGTGCTACTGGCAGTTTCAATACCCAAATTAATATACACATAAAAAAGACACCGTGTCATTAGTAGAGTTAAATAAAGTAAACGAGAGTTCCCGTGCTTGTGTACAAACGTTTTGGGTGTTTTGTGTAGATTGTCAGACATTTTTTAAAAAACTATTCAAGAATATATAAATTCGGCATGAATCCGTGTTAACTCCCAAAATTTGTTGTTAATGAACAAAAATTGACAGTTTGATAGAAGTGTGCCTTTTTTACATATACTTAACAAATACCTAATCATAAATAAATCCAGTCTGAATATAACTGAAAATTCATGCTACAGCCTTCTCGCTGCAACGATGATGTGTGGAGGTGTCAGCGGCGCACTGTCTTGGAGGAAACTGTCTCCCTGAGCACTACTGTGAGGCTTCACTATTGAGGTCTCGATTTAATTGTCGCCCTCGAGATCTGATTTAATTATAGCGGCACACAGGAAGTTTTCAGCTGCTCTGTAGGACGGGAAAAGCGGGCGTGGGGCGCCATGCACGACGTTGTCATGGGAGAGAAGAATATATTCGGATACTCAGAGATATGAGTGTGAATTTGGCTAAATAGCGATGCAGTTGCTACCTTTTGTGGGTCATCATGGCCAAGTTGGGTACGACAGAAGGTCGTGTCTGTGCTACGGTGAGAAAGTGAGTTACTATTACGACAATTGACCCATTAGCTTTTCGTTAGTACTGCAGGCAGCGTAATGTTCTCAACATTATCGTGCTCAGGAATATACTCGTATGTCTCTCTTCACTTCATCGTTGTTCTCCTTTTTGTTTATGCGAAAATTAAAAAATACGTGAATTGGCTTGTCGTGAAAATCAATACTTTAAAGAGAGTAATTACAGCGTGGCTTAATTAACACCATTTATTAATGACGGTTTAATTGGTTGTGAGATTAAACTTTCTCACTTACTTATGCTACATATTGTTGCACTCAATAACTTGTCTCTGATGTATTCACTACGTGCTTTTGTCGTGCTTATACATGGAATTTTTACAAACGAATATAAACAATTTCGGAATACTCATTTTTGGAATATAATTCTTACAATAGAACTTATTTATAGTGTCATATGCATCGGCCGGAAGCTTGAACCAGATTTAAAGAAAGTTTGTCCATAAAATGAGACGCAGAGCTAAGGAAGAAGAGGCCAATTGTTCCCGTATTATCAGCAACATCTGCCCTAGAATTTATTAAGCGGAATATCCTCTCGCGTAACGTTTACTTACTGAAAGCTATTTCGTTCTCATCAAGCACGTATTTCGTCTAGGTATTCGTTTGAAATATCAGAGCGGCGTCACTATAGGCCTACTTTAGGGAGAATTCAGCCCCTTTAAAATATTTGTTGGTTAACATATGAATTAAGGGCAGCGAGGAGCAAGCTAACTTATCTAGTTGAATAACTATAGATTATCACACTGGCACGCAGAATAAGTTTATCATTGAAGGTAAATAAGCTATTTAAAACAAAGTAAGGGTTATAATTTCACTGCTTTACCAAAATTATCAATGTTTTCTCTTAATTGAAAGTAGCAAAAAAAAATATATATATTCTGAGGATCAGAAGATTCTGTGACGATAAGCGGGCATTCTGCATCAGGGTGTGCGTGGGCTAGAATGTGTTTCATAAATGTCGATTTACTGACAAACATTGTTGCTTGTAGCAAATGAGGGATCTTGATACTTACAATCCAAGTACTCCCGACATCATACTGTACAAACGACTTGTACAGTATGATGTCAAGATACACGATATGCTAGATAGTTACGGTAAGCTGTACGTTACAGCGTTCATAATAGAGCTTCGCAATCCAATCCATTTTAAATGTGCAGCTGGAACTTACTCTGGAAAACTGAAGCCACTGCGTTAACCGAATAACCGAACTTGGGTGGGCAAACCGTGTGCAGAGCTTGATGTATTTTAATACACGTCTTGACATTACCTTTAACACAGCGAATGTAAAGCGATGGAAATTAACATAAATATTATATCTGTATAGTATTATTATTTACCACAAATGAATGGGAGGAAATGATAAATACTTTTATTTAAATATTATTGCAAGATTAAATACTTTCAAAAGATGAAAAAATTCTCTTGTCTCAGGCCTCGTAAACTCAGGCTAAATAACGGTTTATTCCAAAGGATAACATGAAGGATACCAAAGGATAACCTACACTCGCATGAAGGATAGTAAACAAGGAACCAAATACCTCAACAGGAGAAATTACGTTGCAGACACAAGGAAATTTTTGCGGTTATTTACAGCTAAGTTTCTGCCACTAAAATTCTTAGAAAAAAAAAACACTTCTCCTTATTCGTTGTTTTTAAATAGAGAAATCGTTAGCAAACCAAATATTTATTAACACTAAATTTTTGACCAACTTAGAAGCGATGTACCATTTTATTATTGGTCAAACAGTCTTACTACAAAGTGCGATGCGTCATTGCATAGCAGTATTTGATAAGATAATATTTAAATAACAATAAATATTAGAGATACATAACAAGTGATTGAAAGTCATTATTAATTTTAATGCTCTGAATATAAGCACAAAGCTTGCGCTCATATGATCTCACTTAATATTATTGAGTGACCCGTGATTAACAGATGTTGAGTTCAAATTCTTAAAGCTCTCAAATAAGTGATAATTCATATCTAGTAACAACTTAAACAATTATTCTATAGAATTAATTATCCAGAGTAGGTGTAATCTAATTATGAAATATATGGGTTTCAGGCAAGTAATCTTTTCAGATTGCTTGCTATAGTGTCCACTATAGCAAGCAATGTGGAAAATTCTTCATTCAGCGTAGAGGGAATAAAATTCGTCAAATGTGTATTGTATCAAAGTTTTAAACTTATCTATTTCAGGAAATTGCCGTATGACAATTCCAGAACAAAAAACGGGCGTGAATTATGATATCATTTACAATTAATAAACAATGGAAGCGCGCACGTAAACCATTTCTTGACAAGTATTTAATTTATAAATAAGTTAGAACCTTCACTATTCATCACCATATCTCATGAATTGGACAACTCCATCTGAAGTGATTCAGTTCGGCTATTGACGCACTTTAATCAGCATAGCCAAATCATCATAGTCGCTGGAATCATATAGCATCATATAGCATGGCCATGGTGAAAGATATTCTTTTCTGCAAGCTCCCTAAAAATGGACTTTGGCTGCAAATAGCAAAAAATATGTATTAAAGGTATGAACATGGAAGCATTGATTTTTTCTGACAAGTTTTATGACTTTTGTTGTTCACCGAGAAATATTTGCATAAATTGAACCTCTTCTTTAAGTACTTGAATGCTCCTATTCAAGCTGAAAGCTTAGGCTCAGAAAATCTGTCACTGTTTAGTAGAATTCAACACTAGCTTTCAGCATTTGCGAAAGCTGCTCGTGATTCGCAGTCACTTGTTACTGGAGAATACATTCTCAAACTTTATTTTTCTTTTGTTTAGGTTTGTTTTGGTTGAGTTTTTCTGGGCTGGGGAGTTGAAGCCCCGGTAGCTCGTGTAGGCGTCCTCGATGCTCTGCAGCACGCTGGCGAAACCTCCCGGGAACCTGTACGGTAAACACAGGTGAGTGTGAAAATTTTAATTTAAAGATTTTTCACTACATGCATTTATTATTATTCATTATATATTTTATTGGTAATATTAATATTATCAATTGTTTTATATTAAATTTATTCATCAATTTCTTGAAAATTTAAAAGTGTAAAAGCACAATAGTTATAGTGAAAGCCACCCGATAAAATTTTGTTTCAAACAAAATTTTATTTTAATATGCGTGAGTTGCTATATACCCGAGATTGAGGTGCGGACATAAAATTATTTGCGCTCCATCTCCATGTTCTGAATATAATAAATATCATATCATAATGAAACCCAAAACTCAAACATGATCGTTAGTATTTAAAAAAATAATCTTCCTATGTTAACTGCTATCACCATCGCTAAACATTTTATGCATATAATTAACATGCGATGGAGGCAATAATTCACATATTGATTGCAGAACATGTTCAATAATGATCCTGATGTGAAAGTGATGTGTGTCTGAGGTACGAATGAGAGACGTACAATTATTAAGCCTAATTAAACCATCTCTGGAATTGCTCCAAACTTTCGCTGGGACTGTCATCAGCCGGGACAATATTGGCGGCATGAAAGTGTTATGGGAAAGCGACTGTAATTTAGTGATGAAGTAGTTTCAGTTTAATCGTCACAAACATGGTTCCTTATATGAATTAAATACGACTTATCTCTGCTTTTTTGGAAGAGGATTAAATTTGTTACCTGATAAGTTGTTAGCCTTGCTTTCTGGAAACATCTGATATGCATCCGATATTATGAATAATTAAACTTCTGCCACTGACACAGAAATACGTTTGGCTTTTAGATTCGAGCAAACAAGTCGTCTAGAGTTAAATAATGTTTTGAATTATGTAACTTCTTTTGACGGACAGCTACTCTTGCTGATTTATCTATCGATAAAAATAAATTTCATCTTTTTATTATGTTTCTAAAAATGTATCATATCAACTAGGCAACATCAATGTAACTCAAGAGTTAGATAAATATAATTTTCAAATATAGTGCGTATATATGTACATATATATTTATAGATATTTTTTATCAAATACATGAAAAATTTTGCTTCAAAATTAGAAACAAATTTAAAGCAATTTTTTCCCCTAGATTGTTTCCTTCACTAGCTGGCTTCAAATTTTCCCGGCAATATTTATTACAAAATGTGATAAAACTCGTCCCATATTTTGGTAAATTTCACTGAATATGGTGATCATCATGTTTATATGTGAATAACTCTTCTTTAATTATTGAAGACAAAAGATTATTAATAAATACTTTTTATACCAGAATAAGTACAATGAAAATTACGCTTAATGTCATGGAAACAGCGGCCATAACTTAATTGGGGATAATGAGTGTGAGTGAATATATCTTCAAATTTTCATAAAATCGATGTCTTTTGCATTAAATTGTGACTCACATTCTCCTCAAGATGGCGTCGGAGTCTATGTCATTGATGACCCTGGAGATGGAGTGCAGCCACCCTCCGGTAGTGCCCCTGTTGGTGCCCTGGTTCACGGCTTTTTCGAAGTTCTTCAGCTCCACCCAGATGGCGATCACTATGGCCAGGATAATGGCCACTATGATCGCCGGTACGACAATGGCAGCGATGGTGATGCCGGCAATTTCACCGCCATTTTTCGTGGAGTCCCAAACTCCCGAGTTCTTGTCGTAGCTATCGTCATCGTAGTTCCAGTTGTCGTACGAGTCTACTTGGTTATCGTCATAGTAGCCACCGTGGTCGCTGGAGGGGTCAGGACTGGCGTAGGATGACATGATAACTTGGCACTCGTGACCAAACTTTTAAGAACTGGAATTTGAAACTGGAAGCGCAGCTCAAAGAATGCTGAGATGTTGACGAACTCGAAGGAACTTCTGTGGAGAATGAAGGTTAGATATGTAAAATGTTTGGAAACACGTGAATTATGAGAGAAAATTTAAAGTATCAAGTTGAATCTATTGCCGTGTGATTGTATGACTGTTGCATTCAGCGTACAATTAAAAAATTCTTCCTGGTCATTGAAAAATTTAATATTTGTTTCTTTACACGCATTCTCGAGAGTTATGGGCTGATAAGTACTGTAGGCAAAAAATTCATTGAGCAAGGTGATGGTTTTTTTGCCTCAAGAAAAACGCAATTCTCTGCATTTCAACAAACAAATTGGCTCTGAAACAGGAGATAACCAGTTTCCAACTAAGCACACTTACGGCTTACAGTCATGATATGTAATTAACATCACATGAAGATCAAGTTTTAAAATTTCAGCGAAATATCGTTACGGATGAGGAACAGTTTACTTCAACGGAAATTCTTGACCTCATATCGGATAAAATCTCGAGCGTTGCTGGTGCCATAGTTTTTGAGGCTTTATCCAAATATTTGCCATATTTGCCACGTCCTCCATTATTCACCTCATGATATGAATTGCATATTATCTCTCTTCAGAAAATATCTTTTCCAGGACACACTGATAGAGCTGGTTGCTGCTTTGGAATAGGGCTAGGTGCTAAAAGCGTCATATATTTCTATTTTAGAATGAAACTCAAAGTTTGCCATATATTTAGACGCGATTCAGCTGTAAATCTATATTAAATGCACCATAGTTTCTTATATTGATTTTTTAGATTAGAGTCTGATGCGGTGGCAGAATAGATAGGTTTGAGATTTCGCATCAGCGAATCGAAATGATTCACAATTTATATTATAATAACATTTTCCTTGGAGATAAGTGGTGAAATTGGTGCAATTGTTATAATTGGCAAAACTAGTGGAATTGACAAAACTAGTGCAACTGTTATAAATGGTGAAACTAATGTAACTGTTTTAAATGGTAAAACTAATGCAACTGTTTAAAATTGCGAAACGGGCGTAACTGTTAAAAGGGTTGAAAATATGGCCACTGGTATAAGTGGCGAAAATGTTGCCACTGTTATATAGGAGGCGAAAATGTTGCCACTGTTACAGGTGGAGACCTATGACTTCGCTCTCGGTTTTAGTTTTTTTTTTTCGTGAGAGAAATTTTTACAATCCGATTTCAGAAAAATAATGCACTGATTCACTTTCTTAGTTTATTTTTGAATCTTTGTTTGCGATGACTCAGGAAATCGTTTTGCGATCGTTTTTTAACACAATGAGTGAACAAGGAGTCAAATAGTACTCGCATAACATGAAAAAGGCCCAAAACGTCCAGAGAGATGTTGGAAAATATGTTTCTGATAATAATTATCGATTATGATTTTGATAATCAAGGATTATTCTCCCCACACCCATCATACTATTCTTCGCGTGTAAATGAATAATATTTTCAATGAGATGTCATTGAGATATCAGAACATTACGTCGGTTTTCCAAACGATTAGTAGAGTTTGATTTACGTCGCGAGAAAAATGTTGTAACCTATACTGTACACGCCAGAAACGAAATGTAACACATACTTCACATGCAAAAAAAAGTTTTAACTTATACTGTACATGCGAGTAACAAGTTGTAACCTATACTATACATGCAAGTAACAAGTTGTTACGAATATGCCTCACGGAATAAAAATTTATCCACCCACCGCGTAGATGTTGCTTTGTCTGTAGCAGACAGCACTGTGCTTTCCATTATCATCGTTCCTTCTCTTAATATACACTAACAAATCCGGCATTATAGCGTTGCCTCACCATTTGCATCACGTCCGACACCACAGCATCATTAATTAGTCCTTTATTTGATATCAGTCACTATGCGGTTGCTTATCCCGGCAATGCGGAGCCTCCGGGACGTTTAGCGAATTGTTTCCTAAGGTATTGGCCGCGTCGAGACGACAAACTTGCGAGCGGGCTAAAACCGACATATTCAGTAGAATGTTATCGCTTCGAAACGTCTTGTATATTTAAGATAACCCTGAAAACAAGTAGCTGTTCCATGAAGGGAAATATTCGGAAGTTTTTTACGAAATTGCAAAATGTTTAAAAATAATTGCACTCGTGAATTTCACGATGGTTCAACAGCCCAGTGAGATTCGAGTTTTTCATAGGTCTTCAATTTCCTTTTGGGCCAATGCAAATAATGTTACTAGGACAGTTAAACGCCATGCGTTTAAATGCATGAACTCTCATTCAGTATAACATGGCTGACTAATTATTTCATAAAATAATAATCTGTTCTAGATTTTATCGAAAATTTAATGATATTTTCTTGTACTGCTTCGAATTACTTACATATCGTTATTACCTGTGTAGCACCTGCAGTCAGCGGCGTGACGACTTTCCACCCAGTGGAAAGAGTTCACCCCTTTGAGTTCACCCAATGCCTTCCTGACATTAAAGCTACAACAAAGCACTTGTTCGCAATATTTAACAAATTTAAGATATGTTCATTTCCCAATAATATGCTATGAATAACGCCCATATATACATCTAATCACCATTAAAATATGATATATGCTTTCGCTGGTATTTCAAAGAAAAACAATGAAAAGAAGGGAATAATAAATCATCGTGTAATTAGTCCACTTATTCTTGCGATAATTAAGAATACAACAATTTTTTTTCGACGAGTCGAACTGTACGTTTTTGCTGACGTTGATGAATTGAAAACATTTTTTCGTGGACATTTTACTGATCTTTCAGATAAGCTGTTGTGTCATCATGAAGTAAAATGAATATTTTCAACGCTTTAAATTGCGATTATGGAATAGCTTAAGTAAAAAATGCCTATGTATTATGGATTCAACTCGAAAAACTGCAACTTGCGATTACTTTGAAATTCCAATGTCTTGACAAAAACAGTATATTCCGTATAACATATGTTATACTGAATAAATAGCTGGAGACTCATACTTGATTATGAGGGCTTCAGCTAGCTATCGCCTGTCTTAATTGTAGCGTCGGGGCACCGTAATACTACCTTAATATCATTAATGTCGTAATATTCAATAAGGAATAACTTGCTGGCGTCGGCGACGGTAGCATCAGAGACTCTGCGACTTGGTGAGCAGGGAAAACATTCCACACTTAGTGGAATGAGCAAAACTTTGTGCAAATAGTGATGTACTTTTTGTTTTGCCTTGTGTGGGTTACTCTGACAAAGTTTTAACCTGGCAGGAGGGTACATCAGTGGTATACGTGCGAAAAATGGGTCACTATTTGGACAACATGATCCAGTAATTTTTCTGTGCACGGCTGTACGACATTCCTTCCGACGAGCGAGGGAACTGCGACTAGGATGTACAGAAGGATGTCTAGGCTCCCCTCTGAGTTCACTCAGTTTAATAATTAGTAAGCAATGTCTGTATGAACGTATGCAGACGGAAGCTGAGTATGAATGTATGAGTTTTTAAACATGAACACCATTAATAGAGTCGAAAACAATCACTCAATAAAAAAAATATTCACTGCATACCATGTGATGTGATATTCGGAATATTACTTGCTTAGAGATTGAAAGAAATCTTCCCTATTTCCCTTGCCTGCGCATAATTTCTTCTAGAATAAGGTAACCTAAAAAGCATAATTAAATGCATGTAGAAGCAGCTATTTAATTCCACATTTTCTTTCAATTTAGCAATTCACAATTTCAGTCGAAAAAGTATTACCCGGCCTGGCATTGAGTTGTATGTTCAGAATTTTTAAAATAACTCTTTTTATAGATTATTCATTGTCCATATAGATTTAACCGTCACGCCAAGCTAAACAGTTCATCTATTCATGTATATTATCACCTAAACACTACTTCATTTATTTCCTTCTAATATGCTCGGCGATTACATTGGTAAAGAAAATATGGACTTTGCAAATCAATATTTGGACGATGTTTATTAATTCTCTTTTCAATAACATGATGCCGAATTTAAATCGCTGGAACAATTTATTTTACTTCTTATTCGAGTGTTTTCGTTATAATGTTCGCTTAATCGTTGCTGTTGCATATTATCAAAAGTACAGAGCCTTGTAACGCTAGTTCTCTCAGTCGTTGCAGCAGCAACAAAATACGTTTATTATACAAATTTGATTAAACTTCTTGGCTAGTGACTTTTTTACAAACAATAAATTCTTCAATTTACCAGCGATTATTTGCTTGTAAAACTACAAAATGTTCGTTCTTATGGTGTTCAATATGAAACATAGATTAATCAAATCAAAGACAATAAAACAATCACCTTTTAAGAAAATAAAATTATCACAACATAATTTGGATAGAAAGCACATATTTAAATTTTTATCATGTGTTGTAGCGAAATTTCGCCAGTCAAAAAAATTTTGACTGTCCCGTAAAAAATATCGTAATGGCTCCTGCACATGTTTACACTTATTTATGGGCGATATAATTACACAAGTAATAACTATATAAGTTATAATAATAATAATTTATAAGGGCGATAAAATTCCACAGGCTTACACCTGTGCAGGAGCATTATGCCTGCGATCGAGGTAGTGAGTCACCTAAAAATCTTAATATTTTTTCAAGCTGTACATGTGTCCAGGCATTTATTATCCACATAACGAAATTTTACGCAAGTTTAGGTGATAGATAAATATGAACAATAAAATCGGTTTGGATGTTTTCATTGATAATCTACTCGAGATTTAACTTATTTAACAACGATCAATTACAACAAGCGTTATGGTCAACCCATCCACCTGCAACATATATGACGTCACATCTCGTGGCGTCATGGTGGAGAGAGGCGTTACAAAATAGTCCCGAAACGGCCATTCATAATTCAAATTTTTACTTGTAATCTAACTTGACTTCAATCTATCACTACATTAGGTATTTAAATTTATGCAACGGACAATTTAATAAAATTAAAGTTTAACATCTTATTTAGTGTTGAAAGTGCTGTCATAAACGGGGGAAAAGAATGAGCGTCACAATAACATAAATTTGTAATAAATATGGGCGATATAATTGATTAGTAATAAAATTTATTAGTAATAGTATAATATATAAGTAATGAATATGGGCGTTGATTAGCAATGCGACGGTGATATAATTCTCAGACCGCGGGCTTATCATTTGAAATAGAACATTGATACTTTTAAAAACATAAATAATAATAAGATAAACTTACTCTTAGCTTTGTGAGATAACAAGTAATAGCAGGAGAAGATTGTTTTTTAAGAGACATTTTAGTAGTGGTAAGAATAAAGACCCCGAAGTACAATGTCAACATGACAACTAATGTAGCAAATTTCTTTCATCAAACGATCAATTGGTTTTCAATTCAATAATGCACATGCTTAAGAAGTTCATTAGAGAAAAGCTCTATAAAGAATCGTTATTGTTCCAAAGATTTTTTTTATTGGCAGAATAATCAAAGATACAATGCCTTGAATCATTCCAGGGTGATGTTACGATTATATTTCAGTATCCCAGGATAAACATGAAACGCGTTTGTAGAAAACGTAAATCAAGACTCTGCAAAAAAGAATAAATTCCCGCGTTTTCTGAACAAGTGACATTGAAATTGAAGCTGTTGTTGGCATTTACTACCAGATGAATTAGCACATTAATCAAATAGTTATCAAATTTATAAATAAGCAGTACGCGGGTGAATGACTCCATTTAACTTTTGTGTACCGGTAATTGTGATTTTTTTTTATCTGAATTCTGAAAACATACCAAAAAACAAAAATGAAGAACTATGAAAATGTTTGTCTCTCTTCGAATTTAAGTTCGAACATAATAGTGTATTTTCTTCCAGTAAATGCCGAATGATTGGTCGTACGGAATGAATGGCGACCCACAGTTTTCATGGTTGAATTAATAACCATGCACAGTTTTACTCTCTGCTCCCAAGGTAAGTAGTGACTTCGTTACTGTAGCGTAGTCGACGTAATTACACCAGGGAAAATCGTCCTGGGCTGCTAAAAACTATGCCACGAAAGTATTGGCATTCGTTAAGAATATTTAGCATGTACATGGTCATGTGCATTATGGATGTCCGGAAGGAATAGAAATGCTTTGAGAACGCATTCCCCGTACGTCCTTAATTGCACATTTGATGATAGGAAAGTCACTACATTTCTCATTATAACTCGAAGAATTCAGCCAGATCGTTTATTTGATTTAGAACTTTAATATGAAATCCATTATCAAAGAATATTTCCAATTATTTAGTGAATATTACTGTTATAAATTTTATTCACTAGAATAGTATGTAAACACATCCTGCTTAGTGGATACGTGTGGAGTTGTACGTGATTTTGTTGAGACGAAACGCTAAGTAAAGCGAATTTGATTTTGTAATTAATTCTTAGAATAAATTATTCCTGAGCTGAAATGTATCTTGTTCTTTAGAGAAATGTTAATGCATAAGCAGAAATTATCAACAGAGTTCTACATTTGCTGGCAAAATCGATAAGCTAAGCGTTGCTGTCGAGATAATGAGTTAGGTCTAACTGGAAAGACGATCGCGTGAAGAAAGCGAGAGACGAGCTTGAAAAACAGAATTTGTGACGAAAAAAAAAGTGGTTCGGTCTCTAGGGAAGGAAGATGGTACACTGTCAAGGGAGACTCAGCTAGGGCATGATTTGGAGAGGTGCTGTGGATAGGAACACGAGGGGATGGGAGGGAGGGTGGATATGGGAAGTTCACGGGGACAA